ACAGACTTTCTGTTTCTAGTTCTTCAGATAGTTTTAGGTTAGGTTAGGAATCACACGTTGAAAGGTAAGATCTCGTTAGTTGTTAGCTCGCACAAGTTCCTCAACTTCTGAGAGTTATCGTTCATATGGGGGCGACAGCTGATTAATGAAAAAACAGATTTCAAACAGATTTAAACAGTTTTCTAGTAACTTCATTGTATTATCTGACAAACCGATATAATTTAAAATTACGAGTAGTAAATCGTGATTTAAAGTGTCAAAAGCATGACTGAAATCCAATGAAACAAAAACTGAACAGATACTCTGATCTGTAGCTGTGAAAATACCATCTACCTACATCATCTGATTATTAATTCAAACAATGAAATGGGTATAGTAAACTATACTTGAAAGATAGACTACATCTTTCTAGTGTACCTAAGAAAAATAAATAATTTGTAGTTAATTGGTTTTTTTGAGTTTCAAAGAGATTATGAAGCATTTTCGATGGATGCTTGCACGGGCAGCACCACCGCCCCGCCTTTTCACGAGAATCATCGTCATGTTTCAACCAATTTTCCAACATACACCTTCATGTACTGAATCTAATATTTGGTTACATCTTTTGTGCAAAACATACTCATAGAACTATAATTTTATTCCAGCTCAAGATAAATTCTGAGAAAGATCAGAATTCTTTGATATCCTGTGAAGTGTATTTTAAAAATACATTTCTCTCTCTTTATATTTTGAATGGTCGTTGCTTTCTATCTTCAGGCGCGTTTGACCAATTCTCCTCCTGTTACGTAACTGGCTGTTACATAACAAAAGCTTCGTCGGGGGACAGAGACTGTCTTGCAGTTTTGCAAGTCTGTGTCCGAAATGAGGTCTGCTGTGCTAGGAAATAAAAACTATCCTCTTCTTCATAAAATATTTATTGTTGCGATCCTACTCCCACGTGGACATCCGGTCCACCCAGGCCTCCAACCGGCGTGAATGGGAGCACTATTTATTTTGAAACACACACAATTTTTATAAACACTATTATTAATTTACGATTGCTGGCTCGTTATATAACGGCGGACATTAACAACACAAAATGAATTCCGTCTCCAACAATGGCGTCCGCGTACCTTCTTTGTGGACGATTGTTATCGGCACGTCCGTCCACCACCATATCGGAAACGGAACTGTTTGAAAAATACATTTAAAATGGTTGTTGATAATTGTATTTCGGCGATAGCGTCGAGCGGATTTATCACGAACTTAACGTGTTAAGGTACGTATTCACCAAAAAAGAGAGCATGAGCGACCATTCGTGTAGGTTTGCTCGTGTATGTTCGTGTTTACTCGACATATTGACGTCTCGTCCACACCAGAGCGAATATCTTCAAGTTTGTAGTCGTAGTTGATCCATCTACTTTGTGCGAACATCTTTTGATGTACCGACTTCTTCTCGATCTTTTCTGAACGTGAACAAGCATACGTTCGCTCGCTCGCTAGCCCGTACTCACCAGACGATTATTGATGCAGAATGCTCGTTCACTCTTGTTCGCTCGTGCTCGCTTTTTTGGTGAATACGCACCTTTACATCTGGCAACATTGTTAATTATTAATAGTACAACAAAACTCCGATCAACCGCAGCGCCGAATTAAAATTAGCAATTACCAAATTCATGTTTCACTCAAATTCAACAATCAAAACAGTTCAGCTCATTATAAAAAATGATGAAAAGTAAAGCGTTGTGCCACACCGTTTTACTGTTTATTAAATGGTACATGAATCAAATTGATTGTTGATAATTTTNACTTAAATTCACTAAAAAATTTCAAACAATGTATTAACAACTTTTCTTTAAATAAATTGATTAATATAACATTGGAAGACATCTGTCGTTTAAAATAGAACACATTTTGTGAACATTAATCCTTAATGTGTTCAGCAAATGCATGAATCAATTATATTGAAACAATTGAAATATTATGTCAATAAATTAAGGAATAAGTATTTGAAACAATAAAAAGAAAAACGACATTCCATAAGGTACTGATTATTTGTCGAAATTCTTTTCTAATCTATTTGCGGAATGTAAATATTAGTTTTCCACCGATAACTTTGGATTCTTTGAACCAATGTAAATACGCATTTGGATGTGTTACGAAATAAGCACATCAATGGCACCAGTGGCTAAAATCCTAAACTTTCAAAGAGCTAATGGAAGGTAGAAGTGGAATATTTTTCTTGGAATAAACCCAAAACAAGTACAGGAGGATAATAACTCTGTCAGTTCCCAATATTTTCTTCATCGCCTTCACTAGAAAGTGAAACCCTCTCCTTCAAATTCAAAAGTTTTGGGTTAAAGTAACCCTTCGAAACCTTTTTCATTGGTATGTTTTTCTTCTGGAAAACTATTTTCAAAACGAAGTTGATTGATTCCATAAAAGTATAAATGGACTTTATCTGAAGATTGGGAACCCATTCCTTTTCTATACATACTGTGGAATTGGCCGCGGTGGTAGTGCGTCCAACTCACGATCGGAAGGTCGTGTGTTCGATTGCCGCCTCGACCAGATATTTTTCTTGAGAGAATGTATCTGGTTGAAGCTGGAATGATTCTGCAACCGTGTTAGGAATCACACGTTAAAAGATAAGACCTCGTTAATCCTTAGCTCGCACAAGTTCCCAACTTCTGAGAGTTGTCGTTCGTATGGGGGCGGCAGCTGACTTACGGAAAAACAGATTTTAAACAGATTTTTTTAAAAACTGTAAAGGAAACTGTTTGACAGACCTAGTCCGCTTAATAATACCTAAGGCGGTACATCAGTGAAGAACGCGTTGATATCGCTTTAAAATTCAACTGAACTCATTACGAACTACACTTTTTGATAGCATTTTCAGTCTGAGAACGGCATCCTTGTGGAATAGTGTTAAGGTACGTATTAACCAAAAAAGCGAGCATNTTCCTTTGCCCAGTCGTCGCCCATACGAACTACAAACCTCAGAAGTCTAAACTTATGCGAGCTAAGGATTAACGAGGTCTTTATTTTTGAACGTGCGATTCCTATACGGGCTTGGACGATACGCAATGAAAATCGATCGTCAGGTCATAGGGCTCGAACGACCGTTCCACATATCGGTCATATTGAATGAGTAGAATTAACCACTCGTGCCAATATAACCGGTTACCGTCCCACCAAAAGTTATTTCTTGTCCTCGATGGAAAAGTCGGAACCAGGATTGAGGTATACATACGACCAGTAACAAAACTCCGTCACTGGGAAAGTAATGTAACTGTTTTTCGTACAGTACGTTGGAACCATATATGAAACTTTTTTTATAATGGTTTAATGAAAAAAGTTATTCCTCATGAAAGGTTCATGCGGAATAAAATGCAAGCATAGTTTATCGAACTGTTTCAGTCATGTACGAGGTTTGTCGAAAAAAATCTACTCAATAATTTTTCCATATGTTTATTTCTTTTTTGTTGTTATTCGAATGCTGATCGATATCGGGTTTATAATGTATTTCATTAGCTATTTTTGTTTTTTTTTGGTATTAGTTATATTTTTGTTGTCAGTTCTCGTAGCTGGCTGTGGGCAGTGGGAGTGGCAGAACAAAAACACCTGTAGTGTTCTACACTGCAGTTTTGAACTTCGCCTTTTGGTTATTAAATCCTACTTCATCCAATAAATACCATTATTATGTTTGTTTGAAGGTGGTTGACAATGTTTCGTGCTGCATTTTATTAGTTCGGACTTACATTGTCTAATATGATACAAATTTATTTGAAATCCCTGAAAGAATCTTTCAAAAAATTAAAAAGATTGACTGAAAAATAACAATTATATTATGCAAATTACAATGAAATAAAATACGAGCAACAATGAAAAAATTGAACTATTAAAACGAGATGAAAATTTAAAATCAAACAAGAAATTGAAATTAAAAGATTCCATGCCAAGTTACTTCACGAAGTTTCAATTGTTAGTATCCAGAATCTCCGAGATCTGACCATTTATAGGTCATTCGAGTGCTTTCACTTATCCCCTCTTCTCTCTCGCCGCTTCATTGGTTTTAGCGGGAGATGACGGTTCATTTTTCTTGATTCAACTATTATTATCATTGTGTTGTGTGAAACCTTTCAAATGAATGAATAAAGTTATTATTATTATTACTTATAGGTCATTATTACTTATAGGCCACTTGTAAAGTACGCGCGGTTTAAAAAAACGTGTATGTTGCTTCTAAAATTTGCATGTTGAATAATTGTATTATTCCCACGAAAAGATGACAGATTTTTTTGTATTGGAGTTTTAGTAGAGTCACCGTACCAAAAGGTAGAAACAAATCTAGTAACCATAGAGATCAATTACCAATCAGAGTAGCAATGAAAATATTTGAACAGATTATCGATTGAGATAACAATATAGGTTATACAGCTTTGTATGTATGTGTTATAGAAAATATGAATCTGGAAAAAGTTATTTTTTGAAGGATTTGAGACTTGTTAAAATATCACTTTGTTAATTTCACTTCAACGAAATGATTAAAAATATTTTATCAATAACTACTCCAGATGTCTATTACTGAAGATTTTTTCCAACACCAAATCGCTATTTTTAACACCTCGACACGTGTTTCGATCACCAAGTGATCATCTTCAAGGGGAAGATTAAACTAGAAACTATCGCGAAGCTTACGCTATTTATGCTATATAGATATAACCTACAGGTAAACCCTACAGGTGTACCACCCATACAATTTTGCATTATCTACTACCCTTACAGGTACACCACCCTAAATTAATTTTACAATTTTGCCTCATCTGTTATTTTACAATATATGTTTAAATGTTATAGCTGTATATAATCGTTTTCTTAAAAAAAAGTTTTATTGTATAAAAACGCATTTGTTGATTAACAATNACGATCCAATGATAGAAAGGGAACGGATTTGAATTTAACAATTAGAAAAATGAAATACCTCACAATAAAAACAGTGCAATTACAGGTGATACACGTTCTGTGTTTAATACTACTAAATATAGTAACGTTTTTCGTAGGTCCCTAGCTAAATAGAACTCAGTTCTATTCTATTTTTTTGAATAAACGAATATACTACAAAACATTAATATTTCAAATATTGAACACGTCATTTTTGTGAAGAAGATCAAAGATCGTTGTGGGAACTTTCACCTTCCTGAAAAAAAAATTGCAATGGAAAATTATTTATAGTTATAGAAATGACAAACCTCTATTTCGCTCTATTTTGCTAACGAAATATCATGTGAATTTGTTGAAAGAGGCTTCATTTCTTGAGGAATGAACCATTTTCCCATAGCACTGACAAATAATGTTAATTTTTATCGAAACATTGTTTCAAGTTCCACTTTGTTGAAAAAAGTTTCATGTTGCTCCATCTAGTATTGTTCCCCTAAAACAAGATATTATATTTTTTATGTATAATTTGAAGTGGCTTTGTAATAACGCTGAATATAATCATATTTTGAAATCGTGTGGGTTGTTATTCTTCATGATGTGTTTGTTTACAAACAACCACGATGTTTTTGTCAAGAGACGTGCTTGATGATGTTTACAACTAGGTACAGAATATGATTAGGATTTGCATTGCATTTTGAATTTTGCATAAATTCAACAACAAAAGATCCAGATAGATATAGATGCAATATTTCCAAAGAAAAACCGATTTGATATTTTGACCTGACATTTTAAACACAGTGGGGTCCAAAGCTTTTGGTAAAGTTTTTCGGAGTGGTTTTTGAGTTTCAGTAATTCTGAAAGTTAGTAGCAACTTACAGAATTTTATGTCGTGAAATGAATCTCTTGTAATCAATCACATGTCCCATGCCTGAACAAAAATACTGTCTCTTGACGAGCGTTTTGATAACCAAGTTAGCATGATCAGGCAACCATCTATGTGGAATATAAAACATATAGGTCTAATTAACCCCTACTTTCACTGAAATCGATGGGGTTCCAGATGAAGTTGAACAACTGGAAACAACTTTTTTGCATTTCTGGTGAAGATTTCGTTAAAATATTAGTTTTTCAAACAAACAGTGAGTGTTTAGCTGAACCGCCTTATTATTCAACTAAAACTCTGTTCAACGAAGCAAAAGTTTTTGATATTCGCCAGCTCATTTATTATAATACTGTCATCAATTACCATAAGAACAGAAAATTCGCTCTACCGACTCACTTGCAGAACATCCGCAGAAAAAATTATCATGTTATTCCCCAGACACAAAAATCAATTTTTCAACACTCTTGTACTCACCTGGCTCCGAAACTGTATAATACTATTCTTGAGGAGATTGGTACTTTCCGAATGATTCACTTTTTACGCGCGGTTTAAAAAAACGTGTATGTTGCTTCTAAAATTTGCATGTTGAATAATTGTATTATTCCCACGAAAAGATGACAGATTTTTTTGTATTTTAGTGAAAAAAATATTCTTTCTCAAAAATATAATTTCATTAGTTTTAGTGGAGCAGCAGTCCGTAAATCAGAACCGTTATTATTATTGAGAAAATGTATATTGGTGGGATGAAAAAACATAGTTTCTGCTACTAAAAAAATATTTTGTCTTTTTGAAAATGTTCGTTCACTCGTTTTCTTTTGATTACCTTATTTTTTCATTGAATTTCATATTGGTATATTACAGATGAGAACATTTTTGTCGGCGGTAATGTATTACTGATGTTAATTTTACATTTCAAACACAATATATCAAAACTGCGACAGCCTACATAAACCATTCGCCACACATATTCGATTTTCAGTTGTTTACATCATCCAAACGATTTATTTTAGTTATATCATGTTCATAACATGCGTTTGGAATTGAAAAGTGCATCTGATGGTGTAAAAACATACAGTGTGTTAAAATGTCGGAAGTTGATATCATTTTTTGTGTTTCAGTTTCTTAGACGACTTAGACCGACTAGGAGCTAAAGACTATCAACCCACGGAACAAGACATACTGCGAACAAGAGTGAAAACTACGGGTATAGTTGAAGTACATTTCTCCTTCAAAAACCTCAATTTCAAGTGAGTAATAATTATCATTCATTATCGATGGGGACGTTGGTCATTCTCATACGAGTGTATATTGAAAAATTCTTAGGCAACTCTATAGTGGCGTCAACAAACATCAGGTTGTTTTGTTTTCTCCGTTTTTATGAGTATACTTTAAACTGTAATATCTCAGTGAATACTCATTAAATTTAATCGAAACAATCGCAATTTGAATCAGTGCACTTTGCCAACGTAACACAAGTCGATCAATTCTGTCAACATAAAAATTGAGTGCCCGGGATTGGATACCCTAATTAGTCATCTAAACAATAATGGATTCTACGCAATTGCATATGCAGATGACATAGTTTGTGAACACACTGTGCGATAAAGCGCAGGATGGGTTCAAATTGATAGACACATGGTGTAAGGAACACTTACTCTTGATCAATCCCAAGAAGACTGAGATGGTCCTTTTCACCAGGAAAAGAAGTTTATCGGGCTTAAAACCTCCCGAAATCTTCAAAAGTAAACTAAACTTCTCTGAAGAGGTGAAATATCTTGGTACCATTCTCGACAGGAAGCTAACATGGAACTCTCACCTACAGAGTAGAGCAAAAAAAAGCATATGTGGCTTATGAGCAATGTCGGAGGACAGTGGGACGCGCATGGGGTCTTTCACCCCGTGTGGTCACCTGGATCTATACTGCAATAATAAGCCTAAGGATTAAGTGGGGAATGAGAAAAAATACCAGTGTGTTTCAAACAGAACTGTCTGGTATCTCAGTCGCCACAAAAGAAATAATCAGAAAAGGAATTTCTGGCAAAGACATAACAATATGCACTGATAGCAGACAAACCCTATTAGCCTTGAACAGACAACGTATTACCTCAGGGTCTAGAGTGCCACCAAGATTTAGCCAAAGCCTCGGTAGATAAAAACATTATCCTGAGAGGAGTAAAGGTGATCGCATTGCCGACTCTTTAGCCAAGGAAGCGGCTGGACTAAAAATTTTAGGACCCAGTGGCACCTACGGCCTGATGACTTCGACAATTGGGGAACTAGCCAAACGTCACACCCATGCTCAATCCCTAAAGAGATGGGCTGAAATCAAAGGATGCAATCTTGCCAGGATTACCCTTGGCGACCCTGGGAAGCTGGCATGTCATATGCGAATGACCGGAGTTATCGTTCGGCGAGTCTTGGCCTACACCTGCCGATATAAAGGAGATATCTCCCAGCACAGAGACATGTTCAACTTCCTGGAAAGGACAGGATAGACGATGACCTAGGAGGACAACTCCTTGGGAGGATGTCAATGGGTCGCATGTGTCCTAAGTGCTGTGGGTCTACACTAACCCTACAGATATAGATGAGTGCCCGGGATTCGATAGAGTCGACGAAGGCAGTTTTTGAAATTTGCCAAAGCAATCATTATTTTTTCTTAATTAAATTCATAGCCCACTGACTAATAAGAAAGTTTTTCTTCCTTATTCAGAGGAATCGGGCAAATTACGGATATGCAGTTGGTTAGTACCTCGTCCACTAGATGGAGCGACATTTTGTGATGTTCGCTTCAACTTTGGAAGAGGAATGAAATACTCTGAAGGAATTCCGATTTTCAATTGTGGAATATCATTGACTTTAGGTCGATGATGGTCACTATCTTGCACTGATGAGTGGCTAATAAGCCCGAAACCGGTCTGCAAGTGTGCCCGTTCCATAATTGAAGGTCGACTCTTTCAGTTGTATTGCCAATTGCATATGCAGGACATTTTATGTGAAAATTCCTGCACTGACGCCTGTCGGATATAATCCAACGCCCTTCGTGGTATTAGCCAGGGGAGTAGTTGTTTTCTGATAGGCGTCAGTCCATTAAACCTACTGTGTTGTTATGTAGAGACTGGCTTGAACGTTTGAAGTTCCATTTACTTTAGATTTGTTTACGGCCAGTCTTCAAGCATAGCCCACTGACTAATAAGAAAGTTAATTAAATTATTCTTCGTTCAGTAAACCGAAATTTGAATTACCCTCTTCTCTTGGGCATTATTCGAAGAATTTTTTTATATATTCTACTTTCAGAGCTTCATAATTATTAGAGTTTTCTTATATGTAGTTTGCATTTGCCAGAAACTGTGACGTATATCTCGATTGATATCAATTTCTTCTCGTTATGTTTATTTTTATTATTACCATTTTGTTAAATTTCTCAATTGAAATCATCGTTTTCTTTTTTGGCTCATTTCAATAGATCTCCAAAAATAACTTTTATTTGCCGTATAAAACCCCATTTGAATAACAGATTAATCCACATACGAGTACATTAACATTGAATGTTATCATTCATTGATAGATTCGATTATTAATTACTTTTCTATTCCATGAAGTACGTTTTTCATTTCCTCTACTACTTCTCAAGATAATCTTCACTACAGTTATTGAAAATCGTATATTCATTCCATTTGAACAATATTAAAATAAAAGCTAGTAAAGTGACTTGGAGAATGAATTTTGAAAAAACTCAACACTAATTGTATTTAACCAGTTTAGTGTGGAAACCAAAAAAAGTAAGCTAATGTATGTGGATGATATTTTCGCGATATTCGAAAACAACAATCAAATATTGAGAACTTTGTTTCCTTTTTAAATGATAGATTTCCATCAATAAAGTTCACGAATGAGTTAAAAAATAAAGGACAACTTCCATTTCTTGACGTTTTGGTAATGAGGAGCCAATATGGAGAGGGTTAGAATACGATGTATTTAGAAAGGAAACAAGCACGTACAGGTATATTCCTGACAGTTCACATCACTGTGGACAGCACAAACGTGCTGGGTTGAATTTTCTGGTGCTTCGTCTTTTGACTTTTCCTCTGACACATGAGAGGTTCACAAAAGAAAAACGTACAATACAGGAATAGCAGCCACTAACGGTTTCTCGAGGGGTATTGTAGATGACATAATAAAAAAAAGTTTAGGTTAAGAATGAATGAAATCTCGACTTTCAGAAAGAACAAAAACCAAGATAAATATATCTCAGTTCCATACCACCAATACACGAAGAACTTTTTACTGTACACAACACTATAGAGCCTTTTAGGAAGTCCAAAATACAAAGTCGAGAATTCGGAAAAGTCTAGAATTTACGAAATTAAATGTAAGGACTGCGATACAAAATATTATGAACAGACAAAAAGAACTATCAAAATAAGATATAAGGAACACTTAGGACACTTAAAATATGAAAGACCTAAAAAATCAGCAGTCGCCCATCATATTTTACAACAAAATCATTCCATAGACTTCAGAGTTCATTAACATTAGTCAGACAAGTTAACAACAACAGGTATATAGATGCCTATGAGAGTGTAGAAATTAGTAAACAGTAATATTATGCATAACGATGGTGGACAAATTCCTAATAGTATACTATATAGCTTGTTAAAATAATATTTTATTTATTAGATTCTTTAAAGAATTTAATTAAATTCGAAACGTTGGCAAGAAAATATTTTTTTTTAAGAAAAAATTGATCCTATTACCCAGCCAACTTTTTATTAAAACGAATTTGATTAAATTCGAAACGTCGGCAAGAAAACATTATTTTTTTTGAAAAAAATGATCCTGTTACCCAACCAACCTCTTTTCAAAATAATTGTAGTCCTCTCTTTGATTTTCAAACTCAATGCTGTCACTGGTTGGTTCCCTGTAGTAGTACTCTGTTACTGTAGTTAATTTATGATCACCTATTTGTATTTCTTGTTAAAAGTCATAAATTTTACACATAATTATAAATTACATTATTATAACCTCTTAGCTTTTCAAACTCAATGCTGTCACTGGTTGGTTCCCTGTAGTAGTACTCTGTTACTGTAGTTAATTTATGATCACCTATTTGTATTTCTTGTTGAAAGTCATAAATTTTACACATAATTATAAATTACATTATTATAATCTCTTAGCTTTTTTTTTACCGTGCCAGTAGGGGTAGGCATTTGAAATTAATATTTGATGTTATAAAAAACTCACATATATTTTATATTTCAGGTTATTTGATGTTGGTGGCCAGAGGTCGGAAAGGAAAAAATGGATTCATTGTTTCGAAGATGTTACTGCGATTATTTTCTGTGTAGCTATGAGTGAATACGATCAAGTCCTACATGAGGACGAAACGACGGTAAGCATGTTTTATCGAGTGAGCGTTTTATTTCATTCTTTGATGGCACACAAAAATTGAAATATTGGTCCCTATCCTGTTCTTTTATTTATAATCAAAGCTTACACAGACTGATTAGTGACTAATCATTTTCAAAGGTATCTTTGTGGAATTGAAAATTGAAATATATCAAGTGTTATTGGGATACTGAATACATAGTAAAAATCAACCAGTAAGTCCACTCCCACTACTTTCATTCATAAATTCACAAAGTTCTCGGTGACCTCGAAACGAAGTGCGGAGCCAATTTCGTTCTTATACCATAGGCGTGCGCTTATATAAAAAAGAAATTTAAGGATATTATACAAAATTTTGTGGTAGGTTACTTATAACCAACTACAAAAACTAAAAACAATAATAACAACAGCGAATAAACTAAAAACAATAATAACAACAGCGAATAAACTAAAAACAATATCAATTTCCGACCGTTTATTATAACTAATACGATGCCCGTGGTATCGTCGAATCCATCGATACTGCAGCACTGATCGCGTTGGATGAGAATCTCATCCTAGGAGCGGTTGAAGGTCCCCGGCAATTCGGGTGGATCACGTGGTAAGAGAGCCTACTGGTTGTATTATTCTACTGTGCTGAATACGGGTTTCTATGCCTGAAAGATACTGCGCATACGAGGGTGGTCTTAGAAGTACCCGACATGACCTAGAGATGGTGGTAGTTGTTTGAAAGATGTCACTGTATTAGAAGGTACACAATCTATAAACCAAGTTTGCAGACGCTGCGTTGTTTAGTATTTTTTGGCAGCCATCAATAACGAACGTTTTCGGTGAATTTGTGGAAATGGAGAGAATTGATTATCGTTATGTGGTACAATATTTTCATTTGAAAGGCCTCAGCCCAACCAATATGAAAGCTGAACTGGATTCAACTCTGCGCGATCCTCTCCTTCGTTTACAACAGTAAAATATTGGGTAACAGAGTTTAAATGAGGCCGAACGAGCTACCAAGACGAGCATCACAGTGGTCGACCAAATTAGGTGACCACTCCAGAAAATTCATAAAGCGGTGCTGAATGATCCGTCGATTGAAAGTGCGCGAGCTAGCAGACTTTGTAAGAATTTCAAAAAGTGTGGTACGTCCTATATTATCTGAAAATTTGAACATGAGAAAACTGTGTGCAACATGGGTGCTGCGTTTGCTCACACTCGAAAAATTCGTTGAAGATGTTTCAATTGATGCAAAGTTTCACATCTACAAAACAGAATTCTTGCGTCGTTTCATAACCATGGATGAAACATGGGTCCATCACTTTACACCCGAGACAAAAGAACAATCAAAACAGTGGACTCAAAAGATAGAACCGTCTTCAAAGAAGGCGAAGACCGTTTCATCTGCAGGCACGGTCATGGTATTGGTTTTTTGGGATAATTTTCATTGACTATCTTGAAAAAGTTGAAACTATCAACGGCGAGTATTATGCGAACTTATTGCAACGTTTGAGTGAAGAAATCAATCGAAAATGGTCGCATTTAGCTAAGAAAAAAGCGTTGTTTCATCAAGACAACGCACCAGCTCACAAATTCATTATCACAATGACCAAAATTAACGAATTAAAGTTTGAATTGCTACCTTGAAGAAATGACTCGGTGCCCAAATATTTTCTAACTTTGAAGACGTGATGTCGGCAGTTGATGGTTATTTTGAGGAGCAAGACAGTTCTTATATGAGACTGAATGAAGTTTGTATCCTGAATATTTTCTAACACCATTTTTTGTTTGTTTCACTGATTCACAGAAATCAGAATATTTAATTTGATTAGGTACCCATAGAATTGAGACTAGATCACTCTATGAAAATGGGTCAACTATGTTTCGTCTGTGATTTACAGTTTTTTGGTTTTACGCTACTTCATAATTCTTAATTAAAATGATTGAAAATGCATCTAACCTAACATTTGCAAGATGTTTATCTAAACAGCCAACAGTAACCACGTCAAAGTGAACAGTCAAAAATATCTCGTTTACTGAACACTTTCCCCACGCCAGAAGAAAAAACTGTCTCTTGATGAAAATTTCACTTAGCATGTTAGCATCGTCAGAAAATGTATTAGCAAGAAAAGTATTTTCAATAGATTAATTTTACATCAGAAGTTCCAATTATACCTATCGTTATATCTGTAGTGTTTGTCCACTACAGATTTATCTAGTGAATCAATTATAAAGATGGCGTAAAATTATCTGAATGTAAATTCGAAACCTCTGGCATAAAGTGCACCTGGATGCCAGTTAAGCTAACTGAGTTAGCATCAAATGATAATTTTGAGGGTCAAAATCATCAGAAAAAATTATAATGTTGAAACGTCTGAACACTTTGTTTTTTGAAAGACATTTTTGAGATAAGTTGGGATTTCATTCGAGTGTCAGTATTGATTCATTTAAAATATCTTTTGTATATATCAATGTTATTTATTCACCATAATAGAAAAGAAATAAGTTCTTACAATTGATATTGCATCGGTTGACCAATGCATATGCTTCATTTTTCTTTGTATAAAAATCTAACTACACCGTTTGAGAACATTTCAAATTTCATTCATCTCGTTTTCAGAATCGAATGCAAGAGAGCTTGAAGCTATTCGACTCAATCTGTAACAATAAGTGGTTTACAGATACCTCCATCATCCTCTTCCTTAACAAGAAAGATCTGTTTGAAGAAAAAATTAGGAAGTCTCCATTAACGATATGTTTCCCGGAATATGCAGGTAAGACGACATTTCACATTCATTTGTGATATTTTTTTACTCAATTCGTACTTATTTACTTTCAATAAGGTAAACTTACTGACATTTGTTTCAACAACATTTGAATAGATGTCGATAAAAATGAAACACATGTTTTAGAAATGGAATCGCTACTTTTTTGTGAAATTGAACAACTGAAAGTATTAACAATTCAACACGAATCACCGTGCCGGGTGAGGAGTTTTGTCGTAAACTCTCGTCACGGTAATGGGGGCTCTGCTGTGTTGGATCTTTTTTTCTCTAGCTACACGCTGAACCATGAAGTAACAAAAAAAATTCGAACCTGATTCTACAGAGGAGATGAAAGTTTTTTAAACGATCCCATTTGTCCTCACTGTAACATCGTTCGAGAGCTTCTCAGTCTGCTAACTCTTGAACAAATCTAAGAGACTAGTGGTACAGCCAGAAAGCAACTTTTTGTCTCCTCGACAGCAGGATATCTCATGAACCTGCCTTGCACCAAGTTCTTGACCAGAAAGAGAAAAATCTGCATCAGGAGAGGAAACTATATTCTCCTAAGCAAATGAGCAAGTGCTCATACTCAAACTATGATTCACTCAAACCAGAGATGAAAAAGGCCTTCATTGCTGAATATAAAGTATGGTCAGGTATATCTGTGTTACAGATGCCCTCATATGTAAAGGTTGCTGTAGACATTAGAGTGGAATTCTTGCACCCATAATATCGAACAATCTCTTCAAATTGCCATCATGGCCATAGTCTCCATATACGATTTCAGAGCTACACATTCTGGTCTGAATGGCTACAGGAAAGCACTTCCTGGCTTTTTTGTGCAGTTAGTACCATTCAGCAATGGGAAAGTTTCTCCCTGCAAAGAATCAAAGGGGACCAAACAACACATTCATGTTGCTCACCTACCTGATGAAGCTAGTCGCAGACTCACTGCCGATCAGGTCCTAAATAGATTGAAGACCTGAAAAATTTACTCAAATCTGCCCCACCACAGCAGGCACAGTGATGAGCAACACCAAATAGTTTTCGGCTTCATTAAGAAACTAGATTTATTTGATCGAATTTGGGTAGGTGAGCTTCAATAATCTCTCGCAGATTGCAATGGAGGATCCAATAGACCCCTTCGCTTAGGACCTACGTACCTACCTTCTCATTCCAAACGTCAAAAATTTTTGAACTTTGTCTGTTTGTCGGGTGCTGCATAATTGAAATTCAATAATACTTGATGTCTTTCAGAGTGTGAATTCCAGTTAGGTAGATAAACAATGCCATCCCAATGTAGTACTTGTGGGGATGAATAGTATCTTTGAAATAATTCATTAATGCAATTTTTGAATCTCCAATAATACACCAAGAATTTTGGCTTCAACTATACTAATAAGACTAGATCTATAATCTTCGATTTATGACTGGCTCGCCTCACAGAGGTGACCCAAATTTTGGAAAAGACTTTTGAAAAGATCAGCAGAGTGAAGACCAAAACATACTTCAGAACTTGATGGTCTTATGAGCAGTCATGCAATCATTCAACGCCACTTCCTGAAAACGATTTTCTGTGTCAGAGCTAGTGTACATAGTCGTATGTGTTTATGATCTTATTGTCATATTTCAAGATAGAAACAGGTTATGTAATTGTGTACAGAAAACCTCAATTTAATTATGATTGATAAAGTTCAGTCAAAACTATCATTGTTAATCCATATGTCTATGTAGTAATGGCGGTTGTCTAGCTACTTTATTTGATCGATTCCCAAATTTCACATGTCTATCATTGGATGATTCGTTGAAAGTTTTAAATTTAATGATATTTATGATTTTTACTGACTCCTCAAAACAATCTAAACTGTTTGGAAAAAAAAATTTAATGCTACTTCAAAGATGCGAAAAATGCAACTCTGAATGAGAAATATTCAAGGTTTGGTGATTGATACCAAAAAGTTTCAATATTGTTGCTTATTCTCTCGAAACGTATCATACTCAGAAACTTATTTCAACAGGAGAAAGAATAATTTCAACTTTGAGATATTTACAATTTATCGTAAAGGAACAAAGGAATATGAAGTTTCAAATGTTTTCACTAACATATTGACAAATAATAAAATTAATATTTCGAAATGAAATCTCGGAATATTCATCTCTTCCAACTACCTACACAGTAGGTTCCAGTAAATTCCTGCCGAAAAACAACTACTTCCTCGGCTAATACCACGATAGATATTGAAATATATCCGGCAGACATATATGCAAGATACCTCACAGACCTTAGTCTCCCAAATGTTTCTCGTTCATCCGTCAGCAGGACCATGCGTTTTTAATGTTCCCCCCTTTTATTTTTTAAACGGGTCAACTCAAAAAAGTCAATATCTTCACCTACTACAAAATGGTTTTCGGTTTTACTAGCAGAATGGTACCACGTCAACAATTTCTTAAATTCTCGTCCATTGGAAGAAAAAATTGAAGCGATTTTTATTTACGGTGCGACGCGTAACTTTCACGAGACCGAAGTTTTCCGAGTCATCCTATCTGTAGAAAATATTTGAGGGAACTTGTCTCCAAATTCACATCTACCGGTAGTGTACATAACAAACAGCCCCAAGGTCATCCATTCCAGAAGAATAGCAAATGCAAATAATTGGTGAGATGGTAGTAAATCCTTGAACATTCTACTTATTCCGTCGCGAATGTTTGTGAGGTGTATCCTACTGTGTGGAGACTTTTGAAGAGGAATAGGTATCATCCATACAAAATTGAAATTTTAAACCAATTAACTGAAGATGACCCTGATCAAAGAACAGAATTTTGCGAAATCATGACGGAAACCATTGCAAGGTACCCTACCTATCTTCACAATATTTGTTTCAGTGACGAACGTACATTTTTTTAAACGGCAATGTTCACAGACAAAATTGCCGTTATTGTAGTGACACCAACCCTCACATTTTCCTGAAAACACATACCCAATACCAAGAAAAAATTAACGTTTGGGCAGGAATATTGAGAAACCATATTGTAAGACCTCTATTTACTGATCAAAATTCAACAGGGGAACTGTATTTGAATATGCTGTAAACTACTGTTGATCCTCTCATTACCGAAATCGTCGAAGCGAATCCTAATGAATTCGATATGGATATTGTATTCCAACAAGATGGAGCACCACCCCATTACTCCAAACAAGTAAGAAACTATTTGGATACTACTTTTCCCGGTCGTTGGATTGGCCGTCGAGGTCCTACAGAATAGCCAGCCCGCTTGTCAGATTTGACACCTTTGGACTTTTTATGTGGCTATTCGAAGCGAAAGGTGTACGAAACTAAACTTTCTTCAATATTGGATATTCGGCAGAGAATAATAAATATTTGTAGAGATATTGACGTAACTGTGTTCGAAAATGTTCGGCGTGAAATATGGGATATGCTGTTCATATGTCAAGAAGTTCAAGGCAACCATTTCGAGCATCTTCTGAACTGACCTCAAGCTTATTACCTCATTTTATGTAGTTAAATGTCAATGTATTCAGGCAATCATTAAAAGTTCCGCCATTTTGTAGTAGTTGAAGCGTTTTCATGAAAACACTTAAGGAAGCCAATAAATTCATCAGCAATTTATCATATTCTAAATTTGCTTTTGAGAAAAATGGCATTTTTAATATAAAAGTTGTCATATAAATTCGAAACCTGCATGTTTCATTGAAAAATTATCAGTAGCCTCTAGAATTCCATTGACTAGACCAGACATATTATTAAATTGATACCGATTGTATTATGTCTAGGTGCACAAGAATATGGGGAGGCAGCATCCTACATACAGGCGCAATTCGAAGCCAAAAACAAGTCGACAACCAAAGAAATATACTGCCACATGACCTGCGCCACGGACACACACAACATTCAATTCGTTTTCGACGCTGTCACTGACGTCATCATAGCCAATAATCTCCGCAACTGCGGTCTTTACTGAAAAACCTGCACACTTGATTTCTTTCCTCACTCAAACGACTCTAGCACACAGTCGAAAAACGATACGATAATGACGTATTTTTTAAAACGTGTCATAGTTTTCAACATTAACATTCAGTAAGTTTTTTTTCACCAACTATATTTCAGGTGTTTTGTAACTGGGGTGTAGGATGGAAATTGGAGATTCCCATTGAGAAATAACTAGGTATAACTTTTTCAATGGAATGTCAATAATTTTTATTTTGATCAATTTGCAACAAGAAAACTAAGTCAGTAGTTTTCTTGGCTGAAAAAAATTAAGCAAGTTTTTCTATCGGAATCTCAAAAAAAACAGTTTCCTCATTTGCAAATACATAATTTGGAGTAACACAGTGTTATGGAAGTGTCAAGATTTTTCAGGTATTTTTTATGCCATTTGAAGTATACAATTTTTTTTAAATATCCATGAAAAAGGAGATTTAAAAAAAAAACATTAAAAATTCACTTGATATAAATACAGAATATAATTTTTCTTGAACTCGTTGAAAGGTCAAAAAACGGAAATTTAAGGAAATACAATGATACATAGATTTTTTTTTTGTTTTTTTTTATCTCATCTCATTCATCTAGAAGTTACTTTTCAGAAAGATACAGATTCTAACATTCATGATGATATTCAAATTAACTTTACCAGCTTCCACTTCATTAAACTCTATTTCGTTATCCTTCAAAAATTTGTCTGAAAACAAGGTACTAGGTTTTAACTCGGATTAGGTGCCCTTCGAAATAGTAGAATCTTCGAGAAGAAAAAAATTTGAGAATATGGTGTCCGGTTTCAGTGAAATATTCAGAAAATCTTTCAACAAAATGTAGTAGGGACATTAGAAATCAATCATTGAATAATAAAACAAATTCAGATTATTTTTGGGATGTTATTCGCTATCTGTGCTCATAGTATTATGATTTAGCAGAGAGAGCGGATAACTTTTGGCGGAAATGACATATCTGAAATAAGCTTAGTGCAAACAAAACCCGACCATTGTTAGATGATATAAATATAGGACTCTGAGGATTTTTCTCCTTAGAAAAAATGTAAGACTGTTGCCAATTTATGACCAAATTAATAGTTTGCTGTACATCAGAGTTTGTGAGCATTACAAAAAACATTAATCATGCAATATATTTGCTTCAAAGCATTTTTTTCTGGAATACTGTGGCTCTCATTTAACATCAAGATTACATTTATACTACTCAATGAATAATTATTTCTTACATTGAAATATGAGTACTAAGATTCTTCTATCCAGTAGAAACCTGTTGTCTTGTTGATGCCTTTTTCGAATGACCATTTGTTAACCAGGGCAGTGCCTTTGAATGTCATATTAGAGTGAAAAATACATGAATCGACTTTAATCAATTTGGATTAACTTCAATTTAATTTGAGACGTCTTAGGAAGGATACAATTATTGAAAAACTATGATGCAAATAGATAGAAGCAGTAAATTTTATAACTCTTTCATTTCATTACTAAAATCGCATTAATTTTTTAAGGAAATCTCCAATTTATTCTCGGCACTCTAGTTTACAAAACACCTTGTACTTGTGGTATCTTTGGATAACTGTTGAGTGAGAAGTTGAAAATGTGTTTTTCTTTCGTTATGAGATGAGTTGAATAATTATTAAACATGTAAAAAATATCAATAAGTAGCTTGTGCTTGATAATACCAAACGTTTTAGGTTTTTTGAATTACCAAAGTTCAACAATATTCATGTTTATTATCGAATGACAGCACAATTCTTGGTAATCGCACAACTTTCTGCCCAAAATGTATCAGCATTGTACAAATACATCGGAGGAGCAACAACAGTTCTGTTTTCGTTTCATTTGTCTAACCAAAATTCACTGGAAAACGTTATTTAGTGTTATTTTTCGTATATATGAATTGTGCCATTAGTGAAAGAGATTGCATTTATTGACGTTTATTAGCTTTTTTGTAAGTTATTTGTTTTCTTCAGAGTATTTTTGTAAGTCTAAGTAATGTTATTTATGTTTATATAATTTTATCGAAATGAAACTAACTTTATACTTGTGTTAGACTTGAGTTTAATTAGGTATCATATCTCTACGTTCAGTACATGTGTGTTTGTATACTAGTACCAAGTTGCGATTCGTGGCTCAAATAGCTTTCAACAAAGTTCTTCAGTTTGATTTGTATATTTCCTAAAGATTGGGTCGAATAATCACAGAAAAGTTCATCTCATCCTCGATTATATGAATAATTATATCAAATATTAATAACGAATTGATGTTTGACCTATGAGGTGGCACAAATGTTTTTGCACAACGGTGGACGGTCGTTGAAATTTTTCGGTAATTATTCGATTTGCCAGTAACAGGACTAAAGTTTTCGTCTCTCATTATTCTAACCATAATTATAACGCCTACTTGTGTATGGTTTTTTGCGGTTCTGTATAACGACAGTATAGCGTTTTTGTCGTTGTGCACTGCCCAAAAATGTGTTCACAAATCAGGAAAACTAAGGACCTTTGTAATAGATAAAAATATAATTAAACTTAACATTTAATGTGTACATAAAAATATATGGCGCTTTACAGTTAAAAAAAGTAGCTTCAGTACCATTTCGTAGGATAGTTTTATGGATTTTTCATTTCTGTCATTGTAATCTAAACATGCATTTTAAGTGATACATTCCTATGAATATTTTGTATCTCTCATCACTTCCTTTTTTCTCACGAGAAAAACTGATAAGATTTTTTGAAATGAAATCATTGGAATACAATCATCCATTCTAGCAGAAACTGAGTACTTGACGTATGCCTTGAGGGGCAATTAACATAAAATACATTCCACAAAAGTGAGTTTTGTGGTATTGAAAAAAATGCCTTCAATTTAAAATTGTACCGCCTGCACAAGTAATAGGAATCATTAGTGAAAATATGTTTATGCCTGTTTATTCTATTAATTTTACAGGTATGAATTATATTTAATTCATCATGATAAAATCTTGATCTTTCAGAAATCAATTCAACTTCAAGAAGTTTTATGTGCAGGGATACATTCTGTATCCCTAAGAGAAAACACGTTCAGACAAAATAGTTTTTTTTTTTCTTGAAAAATTCATGAGTCGAATATGATGGTCGAAATTAATGTGTACGAAAGATACAATATGTATGCCATATAAAAATCTTAAGATATGTATGCTCTCCAATTTGAATGGGCCTCGGCAGATGGATTTTCACAGAAAGGCGATTTTGTGGTGTAATTTATGTTAATTTGATGTTCATCAATACGATCAAGTCTGTTGTGTATAAAAATAGATTTATAAGTATTTAATGTTTGGTAGATCAAGTCTATTGATTTTCTAGTCAAGATTATTTTCTAATCGTAACTTTGGCATTATAACGTTTTGTAATTTATTTCAAAAAAAATGAATAAAATAAAAGTGTAAACTGATACGTATCTCATCATTTTAATGCCAGGTTTTCCAGTATGTTTCGAAATACACAGATTCACATAGACCAATGTGTATTTCACATCTACGCAGATATTGAAGAGTAGTCCAAAGTGGACAAAGTATATTGGTATGTTTTTATAGTTGACATGATTTAGGAAGTGAGCCAAAAAAACACTATGGCTGTTAGTGAGCTGAAATGGATCAGTAGAGTAGTGATTGTTGTTGATGAAAATTTGAAATGGATTCTTGCTCATGATTAGTCACAAATGTATTTTATTTTTAAGGTTGAGTATAATGAATTACTTCGGATCAATTATTGGCCTATTGTTGATGCCGGAGGTTGTTTTTTTGGCTGACTCTAGTGAACATTCTACCTAGATGCAACACGAGACATTATTTGATCTGGTTCCAAGTTACCTTTGTAATCTTAATTTCTTTTATCTTCACAATTTAATAACCAAAATGGATAGTTGAATAGAATGACAGCTCCGGACAGTTATATAAGCATTATGATATCGAACCTCAGACTTTGGATGAGGCGTGCTAAGAACGATTAAGAACAAAGAAACTTTGAGTTTAAACTATTGAAAAGTTGAATTTTGGACTTCCATAGGCTAAAAAATGTACGTATTTGAAACATAAGTGAAATAGAATATAGGACCAAAATATTTCCTTAAGTTAACCAATAATTCAGTTTCAAAATAGCTTTACAGGTTCATTATTGTTCATTTCAATTTATAAAAGACGTGATCGAACAACAAATATGTATAAACTTGAGTGACATAGCAAGCAATAAATTAATTTTCAAAAAAATATATCAATTATCATGTACTTTGTTGGTACCCACAGTATATGGGGAATAACAACAAAATCTGGAATATTTTATTTTTCCAGCACATCTCTAATTCTTATTTATTTTTCCTAGTTATTTTGAACAGGTTTTCACTTACACCCTATACATCTGTTATGGATATAGTGATCTCCACTCTCTTTTGAACTTGGATATTAGAGTTGGGTGAAATTTTCAAAAATGATACTAGTACTACTTTTGAAGTAACATCAATGAAAGTTTTAGTAGGTGAGGGACTAGGAAACTAAAAATAAATTTCAGTAGATAGTACTTGTAAAACCATTTGTGATTTTCATTATTGAAATGGTCAAAAAATAGTAAAAATGGTACCATTTTACCTAAATTTTATCCACGTATATAATTTAGCTCCTTCAAAAATTGGCGGGAGATGAACTCATAATATATAACTGATTTTTCTGGGTTTTTCTACAACTATCCATAACTGGTAGATCAGCAAAGCTTTCGATCACTAATAATTTTACAGGTTTAATTATTGTTTATTTTAATTTCAAATAGTTTTCCACTTGCAAGACATTGACTAATTGTCCAAAGACATGATTCTGGATGAATTTTAAGGAAGTCTACATTATCAGGTATAATATGAAATTGCCGTAATATGTTTTGAAATAATAGTGACAGATATTTCATGTGTTTTGGCATTTTTGGTTGGACATATCATTAATCAATATCATCGATATTTCCAATTGATTCGTTGCAAGTGCTGTTATAACATTTGAGATACCACTAATGATCTTCAATTTTCTACTGGTCTGTAGAGTTTCCTACTGTAGAAGTGAATGAACACTGGTGTTGAATATATTTCCCAAATAGTTACACACATTTCATCTAGCTGTTTCGTTCAATGTTACGAGTTGAATAAACGTTCAAAAAGTAATCTTGATTTGAATATTTGTGAATTTCATCTGAATGTGCCTGGTTCTGAAAAAAAGTTTTAATGGGTGTCAGCTCATCTCAACGTTCAATAGTGAATACAAAAGATGGTTTGTGCACGAAATGTTTCTTTCGAAAGTAAATATGATATGCACTACCTTGAAAATTTAATGGAGCCAAGTACTTTCTTGAAAAGTTTTACATGTATTTTCCAACAAGTAATTGGCGCCAAGCTAATATCTCAAAATATGTTGACTTTTTGTCTGTAGATTTCATCTAAGAAATTGTTTTTAATACTTGCTAGATATTTCACTAGGTACAATATAATCTTTTGGATTCCATCAGTCTTCTTATCCACCCATATCCGGATTCAGTGAAATTTAATTGATACGAGAAAATGTGTTTCAAGTTTAATGGTCAAATCGTTCGACAATGGAATGATGTCACTGCAAAATAATGATCATTTTCAAAACTGTCAATTGAAAATCAAAATCTGAAATTTTGGCTCAAATGTCATTTTCTATAAATTGTTGATTGAGAAATTTTCATTTTTTTTTTTTCGTACTGTCACTATTACGGGGTCTTAAAATCGGTGTAAATATTTTGTATAACTTTGTCATCTTTCAGCCATATTACAGTTATTTTGTCATGTTTATGATGATATATTGTGGGGTTGAGATGCTGACAATTCCATCTAAATTTCTTTTTTCAACTGACTAAGACAGATGCAACTACTAATAAAGCTCATCGTTATTTAAAGTTAATGGAAAAATTGTACACTTTCTTACAATTCATCCTAACTATATATATATATGCACAAACAAATATTGATTGATTTGTTATAAGTATAAGATGATATAAGAAATACCGAACTAGATACACTGAATGGTGTACATGTTTTCCAAATATCAGTAAATGTAACAATTCAAAACAGAGTTTATTGTTACTCTCATTGTATGTTTGTTTCTCTGTGATGTGAATACGATAAATAAATTTTACCCATTTCGAAAAAAAAGTGTTTTTTATAAAATGTCTGATATCAAATTCCTGTACTTTTGGTTATTGTTATCCATTTGTTCTTGAATCACATTTTCTCAAATAAGAAAAGTTGTTAGTTTTTCAGATATGGGTCTATAAAGAGAAATATTGAAATTTATTGAAAATTAAGTTTTTTCAATACAAATCTTATTTGATTTTTTCATTGTGATATAAGTTTTAATCCACAAGAACGAGTTGGACTATATCAATTTTCAACAATGGATTGTACTTTCTATCTGAAATACGCAGAACTAAGTTCTGAATTGTGGTACCTTTTCCATAACCTCATAGAGTCATTGTTCATCAACAATTATGATTGACGATATTTTTGTCAAATCGTATTTTCTAATGTACTGTTGAATTACATTAAGGCAAGTAGGCACAACTCATTTTGTGAATGTTTGTTGTTTCAAATTTGAAATAAGTACAGTACACAGAACGAAACATGGCGAAATATGACGTCGTAATTTTGCATAAAATTGCTGTTTTTTTGACATGTATTAATCAAAATAATGAGAGATTGAATAGCTCTGGTGTACTTCAAAAATTCACAAGTCTATAGAAAAAGGTAAGTAGTTAAATTTTTGAGTTATCGTTATATATTATATATCCTCGATATCATATATCGGAGAAAACTTTGTTTTTGTCATGAAATATCAATTTTTTATGTAGATATAATTATACAGGTCTATTCAAATTCGAGTCTATGCTTGGAGATATCTTATGACAGTAAGAGATAAGAGTAGGTTAAATTGTGGCAAAGTTGCCTATTTTTTAATCCTATTGGATGATACCAAAAAATCAACTCTGGTTATTTTGGTTATGGAAATTTCTACTTTTATTGCATCTTCTTTATTTGCGAATATATTGAAACTCTATTTGCCATTCGCTATTGGAACTTTCTTTATCATATCAGAATATTAATATATAATTATAAAGAGTGTCACCTGACTTGGGACACCTTCAACTTTGAAATTTTAAATGCCGACTTGTATTTTTTGTTCGAATTTTTTGAGCGGAAATGTTCATATAATATCGTGAAATTGAAGTTTTTCTACATTTCTCATAAAATAAGTTACTAATTTTTTATTATGGTCCTGATATTCTGTGGAATTAAAGCAATTGTTTTATTTAGATCTTCACAAAGTACTTACCTACATGATAAGAGTTGAAATATCCACAGTGTCCACAACTTCTAGGAATTGAAAAAAAAACTTCTCTCAGGGGTTAATCAGTAATAAAAAAATTGTTTAGATGTTCTTCATAAACATGTGCGGATATATATACCAAAAAAACTATTACGAAGTTCTTAAAAGAAGTGACATTCCAGAAACTAATAATAAAAGTAACAACATGTTTCTAGTTATGAAGACACTGAATGAATAAAGTTAAAAATCCAATTTGGGCGGCATTTTTTATTTTGGTGAATTTTCTGAATAACTTTCATAATTTCTCAGGAATTTTTTGTACTTATATTCATTTACAGGACCCAATAAATACCAACTCATTTTATTAATACACTGAATCATATTTTTTTCTGTTTTTCAATAATTGAAACCACAGCCCAAAAACAAAACAATTGTGATCCAACACCAACCACACAGCGACCATTTCAACCATAGGTCTCATTGCTGACGACAGCACACTTGTCTCATCATTCCATTTCGATTCCAGGACATCAGATACGGAGGCACATCTTCACCCGTAGCAGGAGGTTGCACATCTTGATGAGAATCTAGAAGTGATTTTGAATTAGGGTGAAAGTAACTAGGTTTAATTCAATGCCACAAAAACCCAGGCATCGATAAATGTCGCTGAATCGGATATAATTATGTCAGGTCAGACAATTCCGCTTTCTGCTTCGATAAGTTGGTTTGGGGTTAAAATGGACACCAATATGTCTTCGCACAATCGTGTCGCTGGAATTGCAAAGGCTGCTTCTCAAAAGCTTGAAACACTGTTCCGAACCAGAAAATTCGGCAACTTTTGATACTTTATAAAGCTCAGATCAGACCTTCTTTGGAGTATTATTCTCAAGTATGGAGCTCTGCCCCAAACATACCCTGAAGTTGCTGGATTCCATCCAGAAAAGAGCCATCCGCCTGATTGGAGACGCAAACATCACGTGCAACCTTGATAGCCTGGAAAATTGAAGAAAGGTTGGAGATTTGTCTCTCTTCTATAGGTACTTTCACGGGAACTGTTCAAGTGACATGGCACATTTGATTCCACCAAGAGCGGTACATATCAGAAATACGCGACGGACTGTGGCTGTTCATCGTTTTGAAGTTCAACTCAGTACACCTCGAAATTCATTGTTTAAGAATTCTTTCATCTGGAGAACTTCGTTTAGGTGGAATAAACTTCCTGGAAGGTTTTCTACATGGATTTGATCTCCAGCGATTCAATGTGAATCGCTACTTTCGCACAGGCACCACTCTGAGAGCGCCTTAAGGATTTTTCTGTAGTGCTTGTGTTTTGTCCTTGAAAAAAGATCAAGTGGTGCTATGGTGCTAGGCTGAATCTCCAATGCATTGTTAGACTTTAAAGACATGCCAAATTGTAAAAAAACACGGCATCTTTGCCGTGATTTGTCATTACTGATTTGATTCACGAATAGGGAGTTGGATATGAAAGTTCAAATATTTTTTTATTGAACTCCTGGAAGTTGTATGACGTAAAAAAACATTATTAGAAATATTGGAGATAATCATCAAATTACAAGTAACTTCCACGATATCATATGAACATATTCAATCAAAAATTGCTACAAAAATGCAGATTCGTATTTAAAATTTCAAAGTTGAGAATGCTCCAAGTCAGATAACAAATTGAAATAATAAGTTTATATTCTAATAGAACAGAGAAAGTTCTGATAGCAAAGTATAAACAAATTTTCAATAAATCTAAAGAAATGAACTTCAAGCCAGTCTCGAATATACCTACATAGTAGGTTAAATGGACTGACGCCTATCAGAAAACAACTCCCCTTGCTAATACCACGAAGGGCGTTGGATTATATCCGACAGGCGTCAGTCAGTGCAGGATTCTTCACAGAAAATTTCCTGCATATGCAATTAGCAATACAACTGAAAGAGTCGTCCTTCAATTTTGGAACGGGCACATTTGCAGACCGGTATCGGGCTTTATAGCCACTCATCAGTGCAAGATAGTGACCATCATCGACCTAAAGTCAATGATATTCCATAATTGAAAATTGGAATTCTTTCAGAGTATTTCATTCCTCTTCCTAAATTGGAGCGAAACAACAAAATGTCACTCATCTAGTGGACGAGGTACTGCATATCCGTAAATTGCCCGATTCCTCTGAATAATTTGTTTACTGTCAGTCTTCAAGAATAGCTTACTACCTAATAAGAAATATTTTCAATATCTGAAAATGAAAAAAGAACAGCATAAAATTGAATTTCTAAATTTTCGGTTTTCCTTGAATATTTCCGGAACCGAAAAAGATATTGTCGATTTTTCAACATCATTCTATGGTACCTGAAAATTGTCAACTTTGCTGAAATTTAACCTGATCCCAATTATCTCTTACCGTTTACGAGATCCCCATACATAGACTCGCATATGACAAGCCCTGTGTAATATAGAACCTCATCAAGAAAGTGTATAGGCCCTGGAATGGTTTTTTACCGAAATATGTAAAATAACACACTGCAGATCACGTTGTATATAGGAAAGATCCCGAGACGATATCTAACGGAAATATCAGAAATGTGTCGAACGGTAAAAAAGAAAGTTCAGTCAGCTATCTTTAACGATCGTTACAAATGAAAAAGATTAATAATACAATAATCAATACGTATTTATGATATCTATAGTCGCATTTGAAAACAAATTCACAATCAAACCACTCAAACTTCGGTTAATTGACGCTGAGATGTGTGCCCGACTCATGATCTGAAGACCATGGGATGGAATCCCACTCCGGCCAGATATTTTCTTCGGAAGAACTTATGTTGTTTGAGACAAATCGATTTTGACATGTCACATGTCTGACGAAAATACGAATAGCAATGATGCTCTTTAGGTGACTCAGAGATTCAACATAACCCAAACGTACTATGACCATAGTAGTTGATGCCGAAAAAAAACAACGCAAAATCAATGAACATTTTTTACACATGTTTACCGATTGATGTCAACATTCGTTGAATACATTAGCGCCCTCATCGATATACATTTTTTCCCTATTGAAAACAAATCAAAATGATTAGACACTGACTGTTTAGCAGTAGTAACAGAGGCTAAAAATTGAAAAAAGAAGCAGATAGGTAACCTATTTCTTAACCTCGCCGTTTTGACATCTTTTCAACATTCAGAGATGCTCACCAGTAATAAATAACAGCATTTGTCTGTTATTTGTATTTTAGATAAAGTTTTTGAAATATTATTCTGTGCAGTGCAAAATGGGAAAAGTAAAACTTCCCAGACGACCACCACTCGAAGAGGATATTCAACCACCTTTGCCTAAAACTAAAGAGAAATCAAAGCTCAAGTTTGCTATGAAACAGGAGGAAGATGAGAAGTTCGTCAATTCTAATTTGTCGCGTAAAATTCTATCTGAAGCTCGCAAACAACGAAGAGAACTTGAAGGAAATGATGATGGCAATAAAGAAATACAGATACAATTCGAGGAAGATTCGGACTCTGATACGGAGACAGTTGATCAAAATGAATCTAGCACTTACTATGATAATATAGAAATCGATGAGGAAGACGAAAAGGTAATGGTAATTTTTGTGGCAAAGTACCTTTCTATTTCTCCATCGTTATATAGAAAGTGGGAAGCTTCTAAATATTCTTTACAAGATGTGTAGATCATGCACAGAAGTTTATTTGTGATACAAAAAAAAAGACTACCCGAACAACTACTTTCAAAGTTTTTATCGACATTTTTTTGAGTATTTTTACCTACCACAATCTGAAAAACATGAAAATTATAATGGATATTCTTATACTAATGTAGATAGGACAAACTTTTTAGTCATTAAACCACATTTTGCAGCTCATTATTACACTTACAATTTGAATGAAAAATCTCAATTACAAAAAGTGCAAAATAGAGGGATGAGGGTAATTTTGGGATGTATTAAATTAACACCTATAGTTTTAATGCTGGTTGCACTGAAATGGTTACCAGTTGCAAGCAGATTGTTTTATATGGCTTTGACATTAATATTCAAGATAAGGAGGTCAACCTGAGTATTTTAATGAATTTTTTATTTTGAATCATAACATACACACTTATTTCAATAGAAATAGAATAGATGTCCATATAAATAGACCAAACCTGAAAATGGACATGAATTCCTTGTTCTTCAAATGTTTAGATTCCCATAATAGACTTCCACAAATGATAAAGATGCAAGGACAGTAACAATGTCTAAACACAAACAATTGAATACATCAGAAATCAACCCAATGTTGTTTATTAGGCATACAATATTAGTGATTAGTTTTATATTCATGTGAACTCTTTTTTTTTCTTCTTCTTTTTGATTTTAAATACCTTATTGATGTAATTCTTTCATAATAACTACATACTAATATGAGTGTTAATTTCCAGCGAATGTACTTTGAATGAGTTAAATGTTTTTTTTATAAGTGCATATTAGGGATTCTTATTTAAAATGAACTACTACTACGTTTTTATGCTTACAGAATTCGACAAAACTGGATATTTTGTCATGATCAAAATTATTTGTTTATTATAAACAATGTTTCATGTCATATATGTTTTTAAATTTTGTAACAGTGCCAATTTGCAATGTATTTAAAATGGTTGATGAATTATTTTACTCTACATGTGAAAGTAGCTGTTTCGGATAGGTTTTTTTACAGTTTGTATCTGAAAGAAACTTCTGTGCATGATTTAGAAATGTTTGTAAATAGTTTTTACTGATGTATTGTTAGTGTATTTCCTAGGACGTTCTATATAACAATGAAGACACAAGCCAAAAGGTTTTTTTCAAAAAAGTAATCTCTTCTAAAATAAATATTATTTTTTGAAGGTAATGGAAATGTTCATGAAAGAGAACCCACAACGTTGCAGAACTTTGGGCGATATAATTATGGAAAAATTTACAGAAAAAGCCACCGAAGTGAACTGTAGTGAATCTGGGTTGGTACAGATGCAAGACCTTGACCCTAGAGTTAGGGAACTTTATGAGGGTGTTCGAGATGTTCTTAAAAACTATAGGAGCGGAAAGTTGCCAAAGGCCTTCAAAATCGTACCTAACCTCCTAAACTGGGAACAGATTTTGTATATTACTGATCCACCGAGTTGGTCAGCTGCAGCAATGTACCAAGCAACACGTATTTTCACTTCGAATCTGAAGGAGAAAATGGCCCAGAGGTTTTTCAATTTGGTGTTGCTTCCAAGAATAAGAGATGACTTGGCAGAATATAAGAGACTCAACTGTCACCTGTACATGGCTTTGAGGAAAGCTTTATTCAAACCAGGAGGATTCATGAAAGGCATTATCCTTCCACTACTGGAGAGTGGAAATTGTTCCTTGAGGGAGGCCATCATCATTGGGTCCGTTGTTGCCAAGAACTCTATTCCTATATTACATTCGTCTGCGGCTATGCTGAGAATCGCCGAAATGGATTACACTGGGGCAAACTCAATATTCCTGAGAATATTCTTTGAGAAAAAATATGCCCTTCCTTACAGGGTTGTAGACGCATGTGTGTTTCACTTCCTAAGATTCGAACGTGATCCTCGAGAGCTTCCAGTGCTGTGGCATCAAGCTCTCTTAATGTTCGTTCAAAGATACAAGGCGGACATTTCTAGCGAACAGAGGGATAGCTTATTGAATCTTCTTAAACACAAGAGTCATCATTCAATAACGCCGGAAGTGAGGAGAGAACTGCAGAATGCTAAGTGTAGGGATATGGAAGATTCTTCATTTGCCATGGATTCAACTGAATGAACCCTAGTGCAGCAATATTTGATTGTTGATGTTTAATAAATATAAAAATCTGAATATAAAGTAACAACCTGTCACTTTCTTATGTGTTCATTTCACTTTGCATAGGATTGGTAAAAAAACAAGAATTTAATTATATGGTGGGACGGTAGCCTGGTGGGTTGAAGGGGTGGTCACTCAATCAACCGCTGTGTGAACTGGTAGTTCGAACCGCAAGGCCGGGCAATCAATTTTTACTTCCTATCGTCAAACCCGTGTTAAGAATCACGCGTTGAAAGGTTAGATCTCGTTAGTCCTTAGCTCGCACAAGTTTTGACTTTTGAGAGTTGTTCGTATGGGGGCGACAGCTGGTTAACGGAAAAACAGCTTTTAACAGAGATTTTATTTAATAGATTTATTTCTCTCAAAATATAAAAATCTTATACAAGGGTTGCTTTTATGTTTCGGGATTTGGCAACCCTACTGTTGCAATCTGGCAACTGACAGCTCTATCGTAAAGTTGGACATTTTTGAGCTTATATGTACTCAGAACGTTTTGACATACGCGCGCTATTTGTGTTGTTTACAGTAATTCAAAAGATTAATCTCGGCCTAAAGATGGAATTAAATCGTGAACATTTTCGTGCGATTATTTTTTACAACTTTTGACGTGGATTAACTTAGCAACAGTGCATAGATGAACTTAATTCAATTTTTGGCGATGAAGCTCCATCAAGGACCTGTGTTTATCGATGGTATGGTGAATTCAATCGTGGTCGTAGTTCACTCCAAGATGAATTTCGTGAAGGTCGTCCAAAATCAGTTGTTGTTCCGAAAACCATGGATGATACGCGCGAACTGATATTGCAAGATCGTCATGTGACCTATAGTGAGATTGAGACAACCTTAGGCATTAGTGGGACCAGTATACATTCAATATTGCATACACATTTGACTGTCAAAAAAAAATTTGTTCGCGTTGGATCCCACACAATTTGTCAATCGCTCAAAAAAAGGCTCGTGTCGATTGGTCGAGGGAAATTCTTAAAAAATGCGATAGCGGTGCTTCGAAACACGTCTATGACATCGTGACAGGTGATGAATCGTGGATTTACGCGTATGAGCTCGAAAGTAAACAGCAGTCGACTGTATGGGTGTTTTAAGATGAGCCAAATCCAACAAAAGTTGTTCACGCACGAAGTACTTCCAAGCAAATGGTCGCCTGCTTTTTCGGAAAAACTGGACATGTCGCAACCGTGCCACTAGAACAATGCAGAACAGTCAATTCTGAGTGGTACACAACCATTTGTTTGCCAGTTGTCTTCGAAGAAATCAGGAAAACCAACCGCCGAAGACGGATCACTCTTCACCACAACAATGCGAGCTCTCACACATCGGCTTAAACAACTGCACTTTTGAGCACCCAAAAAACCAATTTAATGAGTCATCCATCGTATAGTCCTGACTTGGCACCGAATGACTTCTTTTTATTCCCGAATGTAAAAAAAACTGAGAGGTCAACGTTTTTTGACACCTGAAGAAGCGGTTGCTGCATTCAGAATGCATGTTTTGGAGATACCTCAATCAGTGTGGCAAAAGTGCTTCGACAATTGGTTCAAAAGCATGCAAAAGTGTATAGATCTTCATGGGGAATATTTTGAAAAACAAAGTGATTTTCGATGATTAATATTTGTTTTTGTTCTCTGATCCCAAAATATTAAAGGCAACCCTCCAACAATAGTATAAGAATAAAGGACCAGGTAGTTAGATACAATGAAAATGTATCACAAAACTCACACAACGAATGTTTGGAATACAAACTGAGTAGAGAAAAGAATCTTCTGTATAATTCAGTGTTCATATAAAAGTATTTGTTTCGAAAGATTTTTTTCTTTCATGTAATTCAATGTTTATATGAAAGTAACTGTTTCAGGAGGGCTTTCTTCCAGTTTGTGTCTGAAAGTTACTCCTTTGCATGATCTATACATCCATGTATACAGTTACTTATTTTCAAATTGATTACTTCTTTCCTTCCTTTGGAAGATTCCCAGATTTTTTTGTATCAAGATTGTAGAAAGCCAAACACTTTCTTTCCCAAAAATTAATCACTTCTAAAATTATAACCCCTTCAATTCAAATAAGTTTTTCTTTTCCCATATGTACAAGAACCATTTTTTCTGAAATATAAGGCATAATAAATTCTCACACATGTATAAAAAAATCTATCTCTGACTGTTAGATGTGGGTGAAGTAGACTCTCTTGAAGAAATAGTTAAATTTTCAAACCTTGAGTGGAAGGTAGGTTGATATCTGATTTTTTCATTTCGATTTTTGCTGGTAGGGACAGAACTGATTCTTATACTACTAGTTCAATGGAATTTCCTGAGGTCATGCCTTCAATCGTATTTTAAAATTCAATGAAATGAAAAAGAAAGCAATCAAAAACGAAATGTTTTCAGAAAGAAGTATCATTTCATCTTGTTAGAAACTTATAGATACCTTCAGCAACATCACTATCTTCAGATATGTTTTGTGAAGAATATTTGGGTTGAAAATCATTTCATTCAAGTAATAGTCATTTTCTTTGAAGTGATTGCTACAAAGTCTGGTAAATCTAAACGGATTATAGTTCTTTCTTCTCAAAACTTTCAACCACTTTTTTCTCATCACTTAATCCTTTGGGAACCTGAAGAAACAATATGGAATTTTAAAATATACCTAAATCAACACAAAGTTGTAACAATCCTTACTCACCTATGAAACTTCAATGTGACATCTGTTTTTGTGTATCTGGCTGTACAATTAAGAGCCGCACATGAATGCACCATATAAAAAAATATTTTGCATGCAAAATATTATGGACAGACAAAAAGATCTATTAAAGTGAGATATAAGGAACACATAGCACACTTAAAATATGGAAGACCTGAAAAATCAGCAGTCGCCCATCATATTTTGCAACAAAATAGTTTTGAGTAGTTATTAGTTTTATCTTCCTCTTGAAGATGATCACTTGGTGATCGAAACACGTGTCGAGGTGTAAAAATAAAAATAACGATTTGGTGTTGGGGAAAAAACTCCGGTAATATTCATTACTACACCAAAGGTTCCAAACAGTATATCACAAGTACTTGGGTTTTATTTATTTTTTTTGAAAAATCCACTTCGAGAGGAATTTGTAGATTAAAAATATGCTTGGATTGCAAGATTTTCACTTGATAATGAAACATATTTTATCAGTAAATCATAACCACATACATGCTGACAACATTTATTACGAATAATAAGGATCTATCGTATCCAGATTTACAAAGTATGCAGTGACTTAAAAAAACAATAAAACGATTTGATATAGGTAAATTCTCTCAATTTGTTTCTCAGTAATCTTTAATATGATTACCCAAAACAATCCCTTTTCGAATGATAAAACGCCAAGAGTGTATGATTCTGACTCACATACGAACTCTTCTTAAAAACAGATCAGAGCGATGTATACAGGGTGATTCAAAAGTACTTTGACAAAGTTCAGGAGGTGATTCCTCACAATATTCTAATATGAATTGTCCAAATAAATAAATGTCCGGACACGCTTCGTTTCCAAGATACAGGATGTTGAAGTTTTATTTTTATTTTCGTTTTTTTCAAATAACTTTTGAAATACTGAACTTAGTTAAAC